AGGAAGGAAGGAAGGAAGGAAGGAAGGAAGGAAAGAAGGATGGATGGATGGAAAGAAGGAAGGAAGGAATATAAAGGATTCTTTCTATTATAAAGAATTAAGGTCTTGCACAGGTTTTAGTCTTATTGTCCACTTTTTGTATCTAGTATGTATTCATAATGTATCAGTTGTGGATGCATTATGCATTAAATCTGAAATAAGAGGAATGTTCCAACAACTTCATGAAAAAGGCCAAAACAGAGGAGGATAGGAAAATATACTCTCTTTTAAAAATGTACTGAAGAACTAAGTACTCTACTGTTAAGTTATGTACATAAAATATAACCCATCATCCAGAGACAAAGCATTAAATATGCAAGTGTGTACATGTTGAGGACTGAGGAAAAATTTACCCGTAAATATTTCAATATATTGAACATGTTTACTTAATACATACAGAGTTGAACATTTTAATGGTTACACAACTGAGAACATGTTCAACCAGAAACATGACTGTGAAAATACAAGAAGCTAAGGAACATTCAATGCAACAATTGCAAAGGGATGTTATGCAATACAATAAAGAGGAATATTTAATGAATCAATGAGGATGCAAAAATTTGTGTCCCTGATGAAAAATGAGTCAGGATAAGAATGTGGCTGATCAACAGTGACTTTGAGAGATATTTTGCTACTCCCTACTTAATTTTATCAATTAGTGTTTCCCTCAATTTCTTGAAATAGAACAATATTATACAGGTTGTAAATTAGGATGCAAAAGAAGATGTGAAATTTGAGTATCTAGGGCATGTTTTTATTACTTTGTCTCTTAGATGTTAATTTAAACCATTGAGATTCCATGTCTATGCTATTTGCCTAAATTTACTCTTCATTTAAATAGCTACTGTGGAATTACCAGAGATTTTAGGACCATCACATTGTTCTCTTAGGACCACTGATTCTTACAGTGTGAATGCTGACAGGCATCCTACAACTAGANGCTCCTCTTTTATTTCCTCTGGGAGGGGCCATTCATCATCCATCTGTGGCCTTATTCCCAAGTCGATCCCTGTTCTTTAGCTGTTCCTTTCTCTGGCAACTCTGCGCATGCACACACTGGGAACAGGCTCCAGCTGTTCATCTGCCTCACTGATGTTTGACTCTGAAGGCAGCCGATAACTGGCATACGGCCCTGGCCCCCCCTCTGCCTCCAACACAGAGCCCTCCTCAGAGCCTTCCCCAGACTACAGGACTGGCCCATGTTCCTACCCAACCTCCTCACTGTCTGACTCTGCTGGCGGGTCACAACACAAAGACCCCTTTCTTTTTACATTGTGTGTTAGGTATTCTTTGCTCCAATGAAGAAACAATCACAACCCTGCACTCTCAGTTTCTTTTTGTCACTTACTTGTTTAGATTTCCAAACTTCCAATACAGGCATGCCAGCTATAATGGAGTTGGGATCTTCCTGTGCTGCAGAATTCACAGTGTCATTAGCACCAATGACCAACGTCAAATCTGTATCTGAAAGTAAGAAGACAGAGCCTTGGAAAAGGAAGACCTTTCAATATGAAAAGCTTCAAAATCCAAGTGTGCCATAATCACATTTTTTTAAAAAAATGTAAACCGGGGAAACTCTAACGTTATTTCTGAGATTGTAAAGGAAAGCTTTGGTATAGTGAGCCAGCTAACTGGTACTCAATGTCTTTTCCATGTTGCTTACACTACTATTTGTCTGCCGAAATTTGGCTTGTGAATAGTTTCCCCCATTTCATGAAAAGGCTTCTAAAACAAGATCTGTGCTAAATAACCTACATGTGAAAGTAGATACAAGATACCCAAGATGTACCATGGACCGGGTTACGTAGCTCAAAAGCAAAAAAAAGGTTCAGCGCAAACCAAATATTCCTCACTTTCTGATCCTCATTTGTGACCTAATTTATCTCTTCCCCAAACTAATCAAGTTATCCCACTTCATATTATCTTCAAAGCAACCTAGACTAGGCTGAATAAAAGCATCTAGGATTAAGATTGAGTGGTGATTCCCTTTGTGGATATCCTCAATCTTATATTCACTAAAATGAATATTAACCCCAAAACTAATCTTCTTGAGATGGAACTGGTTCTAAACAGCATTGTAGATTTGTGGAACCTCTTCTATAGAAGAGGTTAGAACTGGCAGGAACCCACCCGACGCTCATGTGCTCGTGTGACGCTTCTGCGCAGGCACAGAAGCATCTGGGCTGATGAGCAGAAACTCCCGCTGCCACCACTACCAATTTGCCCGATCCGGGGCGAACCAGTTGAAACCCACCTCTGTACCGATTTTCTCTCTCTCTCTTTTATAGTTTCTGTTTATGCTTGTATGTATGCTTTCTATATGGAGCCTGCTTGAAATCTGTAGATTTTGCATGAATCTGTTTCATCTGGATTCGGCTGCTCTCGCAATTTGGAGAGATTCCACGCTGGCATATTAGCCTGACAAGCCTAAGCTGTTGAATTCATCATTTGAAAAGTTATTTCTGGTCCAGGACTGTCATGAGTCCCTTACTGAGCCATAAAACCTGACCTCCCAAAGAGATGTCAAAGACAATTGCCTCGTCTCCTGATGGACTGCCTGAGAAAACAGACCACCTCTGAAGTCAGATGAGAAAACAGGCTTTGGAACTGAAGGGCTTCCAGCATCCAAGGTAATGTGGCCAACTGTCAATCCCAGAGGACCTTTTCAGAATGCATCCATTCTGGAGGTTGCTTCAGGTGTGCAATGGGTTCAACTTGGAAAGAATTCCTACAGTAGCTGCCAATTAAGAGCCGAGGTGGCGCAGTGGTTAGAGTGTAGTACTGCAGGCTACTTCAGCTGACTGCTAGCTGCTGTTCAGCAGTTCAAATCTCACCAGCTCAAGGTTGACTCAGCCTTCCATCCTTCTGAGGACCCAGATTGCTAGGGGAAATATGCTGACTCTGTAAACCACTTAGGGCTGTAAAAGCACCGTGAAGTGGTATATAAGTGTTAAGTGCTATTGCTATTACTATTTCCAGTGTAGGGTTATTAGTATGATCAAATGGGGAGAAACTAAATTTATTTGCCAGTACAGTTGCTTGCAGGGGGGCCTAAGAGCAAGTGAGATGCAGATTGCCTAGGAGATGATAATTATAGGGGCGAAGTAAACTACAAGGGGAAAGCATAATTTGTCATATAGCAGCATGAGTTTTACAATTACTGGAGCTACAGATTCAGCTAAGGACCTTGAACCCTGGAGGCACAGTGGTTAGAATGCAATATTGCCGGCTAACTCTGCTCACTGCCAGGAGTTCAATCCTGATGGGCTAGAGCTTGACTCAGCCTTCCATCCTTCCGAGGTGGGTAAAATGAGGACCCAGATTGTTGGGGGCAAGAGGCTGACTCTGTAAACCATTTAGAGAGGACTGTAAAGCACTATGGAGTGGTATATTTCCTAAGTGCTATTGCTATTTTGCAGCCTGAAGAAAACACCATATACACTTTGCAATGCAATGCAAACACCAAGCCGTAGTTTTGTTCGATTTTTCATTCTCCTCTTTCAACCCTTATCCCCTACCTGGAAAATCTTCATTAATTTCGTCCATTTCCAAGACAACGTCATACGGCACACCAGCTTCTGCCAGGAGGACATTAAGCTGGCCTGGCATTCGGCCTGCAACTGGATGGATGCCAAACCTGCAACCCAAAAATAGGAAGAAATGCTGAACTAGGTATACAGACCGAGAAATGGGGAAACGTCAGACAAAGTTCACAGAAAGGGGAGAGATATTATATATTCTCTCCTCTAAGCAGGAGAAAGATAGCCAATTGGGTGTAGTGGTTAAGGCATTAGGCTAGAAACCAGGAGACAGTGAATTCTAGTCCTGCCTTAGGCACAAAACCTCTGGGTGTTTTTGGGCTGGTCACTCTCTAAACTTTTGCCAAGAAAGCTGCAGAGATTTATCCAGGCATTCACTGGGCGTCAACTTTGACTCAAAACCACACACACACACACACACAGTAGGAGAAAGGTTCCTAGAGAGGCACTGACAGTACGATTTAGAGAGGACCCGATTTTCCTTCCTAACTTTCAGTCAAAGTCAATATTTCCCCCATTAAAGGTATACAACTGCCATTTTGGTTTTTTTTTTAAATTAAAGACCAGTTTTGTTTGGATTTCTATGATATGCCATTGTTAAAAACAGCGAAAATATAAGGCATAAATTTAATATTAATTAGAGCACCACATATAGCATCTTGGCTATAGCCCCTGCCATTGCTGATCAACAATAAAAAGAATAGAACATTTTTTTTTCTTGAAAGAAAACATTCTCATTTTTGAATGCTGGCACTAAGATCCCTGTTGTAATCTCATGCAATACGAAGGGAGGATTAATTTTCATTTATTTATTTATTCTATTTGCATATCACTGAAGAAAGGCCCAAATCAGTTTGCAAACCTTCAATTAAACAACTATTTGACTGAAATCCCTTCTATCTATCTATCTATCTATCTATCTATCTATCTATCTATCTATCTATCTATCTATCTATCTATCT